GAAGTGGTTCGTATATAGAGGGTGGGCTGGTAAGCTAAGACTTCAGGTTCGCTTACGAGCAAATGGAATAAATGGAAACACCCAAGGCTCTCTCGTACTTCGGTATCCAAGGTTTTCTCTACCTTTTTCCCCGTTCTTAACCTTCTACCAGGCAGGTACCTTCTCAACCTTCTCAATCTTCTTTACCCTCTTCGTTTCTCCCCCTCTACCCCCCCACCCCACCCCACACTAACTGCTTGGTCTTCCGCATCTTTTTACCTCATTCCAATTCCCACCACCTTCACCCTACAACCCTCCCTACTTGGAACTCTCTGAGCTACGTCCTCGACTAAAGAGATGGATGATTCTAATTGAAGCCTTCGACTTTTATGCTTTTGCTTCACTCGAGTATGATGCAACTTTTTTTTCTTTACGGAAGTTCCAAAAAAATCGAATCATTATCGATCTCCGAGTATTTCCATAATTAAATTTTTATACGGAAATTGTATATGAGATTTTTATGAAAATTTCATAAATCATGGTACTGCGTGTATGTCGAAGCCGATGACGTCAGGTTCAGGGGATTCGGATGGTCACCCATTTTTTTTTATTCTGAATTGATTACACTGAAGCTGGAACGAATTCACGACCCTTGGCGAGATGGTCGATTGTCACCGAACACTGCCTTCCCATACGATCCATCTCACGATCCCGGCTACGTTCAGTGTATATCAACATCCCCACTACGGTGTTATCAAAAGTACAAACTCTTAACCTAACTTGACGATAACAGCGACATGAACAATAATATCGGCGTTAACGCCCGCCGAGCACCCAGTCCTCTCTGACATATATTTAGTGTAATCGATCAAAAAAATTTAAAAAAAAAAAAACAAATTTTTAGTCCTAGGAGCTGTTTTTGTGGTTGAGATATTTTTCAAAATTTTTGCTCTCCTCTTGTCAATTTGTATTCGGTATTTGTTACTGTATCTCGTAGAAGCAATCCGGCAACGGAAATATCTCAATTGTATTTATTTCACAGGCCAGCGAACACTCCCTGTTGATTTTCAATGTTTTTCCACCACTTTTCGTTCGAACCAATCCAAGCCAAAGTACTTTCGATATGTATTCGTCAGGTCGTCTTACCTCGTAGCTACTTGGGAAATGAAAAAAACCAATTATGACGTAACGCAGAATAGCTCTGTCAAACGATGGTCGTAGGTAAATTGCGATAGGTAGGAAGCGGGGAAAATATATTTTTACTATCAATTTGATCAAAGATATAAATATTTTTATCCCTTTGCTCGTTCACCGAGGGACTTAAAACAAAAAGTGCATTTTTACTTGACTGAACTAAAATATCGTAGGACGCGAATGTCGTGAAAATAAAATTTCATATTTGTATCCGTGATACAGTTATGGATACGCAATTGATTCGATATTGGATCAATAGGATAGATGGATTTTCAAAGATTTACTACAGATTGAAAATACGACAAACTTGTTCGAAGTGAGATGAGAGAAACGTCTGAGTAAATATAGAATTTGATGATATACCTTCTTTAACGTTTACCGATTGCTGCGAAGGACACGTATACATATCGATGGGTTAGGTTAGGTTGAGTCGAAGATATAGAGATTTTGCATGAGACAGAATTTAGATTTTCTGTGTAAAAACGATAGTGCATTTTCAGAGATGTGATAAACGAAAAGTGATAATTTTTAGGAGAAAAAAAATTAAAACATTAATTTTGATTTATCGCGTTTACGTTATTTTCGCAATTTCAAATTTTCGTACTCGCTCATTATCCTTTCTCATAAGAGATGAAACGGAAATGCAATCACAGAAAAATATCATTATCCATCGTAACCTATAAAATGTCGAATCCCCTAGGTGCTTTAAACGGTAACGACTATAGCTTCTCTTGTGACCAACCTAACGATGCTACGTTGCAACACAGCAGTGCCAAGCACTGGACATTGCCTATAGTCTTTACCCAATAACCATCCCACTTTAGAACAGCTCTTTAAAGACCTAACGAATAGGATACGTGGTTATTCGAAACGAAGGGAAGTCGGTAAAAGCGGAATCTATAAAAAGTACAATATAACCAATTTAAAAAAAGAAATAATACCATTGCTCCTATGGTACGATTGCTATGCATCGCTAATGGCGTTCGTGAATGTACTTAAAATAGATTTTTTTTCTTACTTCACAAGCTTCGGTTTTAGGTAACGTTTGAAATAGTTGAGCAGCCCTTATTTTAAAAATAGATATAGACGCTAGTGGTTGGGTAACGCAATGGAGTCACTAAAAAATCACGTTCAACGCCCTTCGTTCTCCCAAAGTATTGTAGAGCATAGCTCAGCACACTTCGGCACATTTCAGCACCGTAATTTCGAATTCACAACCCGAAGACATTAACGCTATACAGTACAAACTTGTTTCTCTCACAGCTCAACGAATGTCTCGTTACCGAGAGACATGAAGAGCTTAACGATAAGGCAAAAAACTTATAGCTCATAATTGAAGTAAGGGATGGCTTTTAGAAGGGGTTATCACAGTAAAATTTAACGAGGAGGATAAGAGGCTATGACTACATTTTGAAAATGCCTGTCATAAGAACACCCCGTTATACATATATGTATACGGAACGAGAATAAGAATTTACAAATAAAATTTATAATAATAATAAATCTTGAGCCTTGAGTTGATGATATTTTATTCGTCCTATATTATATATTTTATTATTATATGTTATATAATACATTAAACTTATCCTTATATATATATGTATATCAAAGTTCATGGCAATTTGACATGGCGCGTTAAAATGTTTTTTAAGACAAATTTCAAAGTGTACCGACTTAACGATGCAAGCCTCATACCTCGCTGACTTAAAGTTTCGATGCGATTAAAACTTGTGTGAAATTAAGCACGGGAGCGACTTAATGAGATGATTGCGTCGAAGATTGTTCCCTGATGCTGTTAAAGTACCGGAAGACTTCGTGAATATTCACAATACATAATCGTGTTTAGTTGGACTTTTACTTTGACGAGGGGATCTATCAGCTTCCGTGATAACGGAATAAAAATTTTCTCAACTGTTCAAGATATTATAACTAGACGTGTTTTCAGGAGACGTTAAAGTTGATTTTGGCAAAATTTGGTTTCCCGTTAAAAAAAAAAAAACAATACTTAGTGCTGATTGTGTACTTTTATTATTATATTTTATGTGACTCTTGGGAATAGTATTTACGTAGGGTAAGAGATCGTGCTTAGAATCACTCATTCGAAACAGCTCGTATCTCAAGTGCCACTCGAAAATCTTATCTTGTCGTTCGACAGTTCGTTGCGCTTTATAAGTGCATCTATAGGCACTTCATGGCCATTTTTTTCAAAGATTTTATAAGGATACAAAAGTTTTACGTTCTTGGACAATATGACTTGGCGAATATAAATAACATATTTTGAATATCACTTGAGAGTAGGGGTTTCAATTTTATCAAGGACTCGGGATACGTTTAGTATTTGTGATTTATGGACGTTCATGGAATAATTTTTGTTGATCAGGTTATTGATTGTTGTCTATGGTATTCGTTGGGTTCGATCTCTTTGCGTTGCTGGTAGCCCTGATCTTAGAATTGTATATACATAGTTTCTCCAAAAATAAAGGTTCTACTTCGAGATGTTGCCGCGGCGCGGCGCTCGCGCGTGTTCTAAATATAATTATAGAATTTAGTTTTATGTACGCGTGGCAGTCGAATAGGCATTGCGACGCATTCAAAGTGCGTCCCGGTGCCGAGCGTCGTACTTGAAATAACAGAACGACTATCGGAAACGATTGACGTGACGAGATTGCACAGTGAAATAATTGCGGTGTTAATTTTTTTACAATTTCTTTTTTTCTTCATTTTTTTTGTTATCGAGTCGTGTTAAAATTCGTTTATCGTTTAGTGTAATAATAAAGTAGCTGCCTAAAGTTTGTCGACTTTTTATATGGAGTTGAAAACAAAAGAGAAATTCGGTGCTGCTGATATTTGAGAAATTGCATCTTCCCGTCCTTGGCTAATGTACAGATTTTGCAATGTATAGAATATTTTCATACGCTGTCCTTAATATCCCATGAAAATAGTATTTTGAAAAGGAAAAATATTGGTATCGTATCGATCGTTATACTAGAAGCTGAAATAATCGTACTAGAAACTGAGTTTAATCGTCCGAAAAAAAGGCAGCGTTAACCCTAAGGATAATAATAATAAAAAATTTTTCTCTTTTTTTTGTTCACGTAACGATAGAATTTAAAGAGGCAAATTCACGGAAAGCCAACTCCACGAGCATTGATAAAGCCAAGGATAATTGAACACCGAAAACCCACTGCTCTAAAGTCCAAGGAAAAATTTCGAACGAAAATTCCAAATTTCCAAACCGGTATAGAACTTTTGCAAAAATACCAAGTTTACCAACACGTTCTATTTGCGTCGCGATGGTGCAGTGTAGTGCGATCCAGGGACGGTAACGTACGTACGTTCACCCTTGTTTGCCCAGCTAAGAATATCGCTGAGAGGACACTGTGAAAGTCTTCATTTTTTAACTGGTATATCTATACCAACTATAAATCCGGACCTAAAAACATGGTGTCTCCGCCGAGAATAAAGGCTTCGGCCATAGTAAAATCGCACGCTGAGTATTGACAAACGTGATTTTGGTTGGTCTGTGCGGGCGCCTTTATAAAAATGTGAAAAGTAAAGAAAGAAAGAGAGAGAGAGAGAGAGAGAATGGAGTCATCGCCAAATTCTACAGCGTAGAAAAATAGTCGAGGTCTCCCACTCATCTTCTTTTTTATAACTGTAAATTCAATGAGAGAAATCAAAAAAAGTAAGCCGCCACGTGACAGCTCGATACTCGGACAGTAGCCTCTTAAAAAGCACATATGTACATATGCGACGAACCCCGCACAGGAAACTGCCCACGCCCACGGCACGAAGATGTGGGAGGACGTACGCAAGAACGCAAAACGCGAATGAAAGACGCTCTCTTTGCTCAGAGAGAGAGAGAGAGAGAGTAGATATTTGGAAAATTGTCAAATCTCTCAAGAATTTCCTCTTACCGTTACACTGAATACATAAAATAAATTCAGTGTTTGATCCTAACAGTGTATCAATACCATAAGCACTTTGACATATTGTGTTACGTGTGTCGTGTATGAAAATTGAGCCCTATCAATGGTATTATGTACTACGTGAACTTTTGACATTGTAAAAAGTACGTAACTCATGTTTAATCTGGGTAAATCTGGGTCAGTAGTGTTATCGCGTGGTTTTGCGAAATTCAAGGGGACTCGTTATAGTGCCCGCTAGATACAATAGCCGGCCTCGTTGTAAAAGAGAGACACTCGTATTTCAGAGAAAGGGAGAAGGAAGGAAGAGTATTAAAAAAAAAAAAAGAAAAAAAACACAGTACCACTTCGAAAAGTGCCGGCGAGCATCGCGGCCGAGTAAACTCTTCTCAACGTTGGAGTTTAAAGAGAGCGCAGCCTGGAGTTCGTGAAGCCAGGCAAATGTCCAAAATGTTGAGGCTCGAGCTGGTGGGTCTCGTGTTGCTGGCATGTACCCAGATACTCACGGAGCATCGGGATTTTTATGGATCCTACAATCAGTACGATCATCAGAGACATCAGCAATGGCAGGAGGAAAAAGTGACACGGGAGGTGCACGTGGAGCAGGGAAGATTACGAGGAATTGTCGTGCGACCAAGGACGAGTCAGGAATTGCCATTGATCGACGTATTTTTGGGTAAATTACAATATAATTTTTTCACTATAATATAGATACAGGCAAAAAAGCATAGGATAAGTGTAAATTAGGGTGCTCATGGTTGGGATTGATTTTGAGGTTATTTAGAATCAGAATTTTTTTATCCATTATCGATATATTGATTTACTAAACCCATTGATATACCTTGTGTTTAAATCAATCCTGTATATACTACTTGGGCGAACACTTGGATTATGGGTTATTCAAGGAATAAACTCCTTTTCGGATTTTACCGAAAAGCTTGTAGGATCTTTTCTAACCGAATCCTGGCTTTGTCGATGTTCCTGGTATAACCGTAGCTGAGGATTCCATTTTTGAAATTTTCTAGATTCGAGATGTTCTCTCTGCCCTTGTGCTTAAGGCTGGGCGAGTTCATGTTTTAGGAGTGACTTTCCTCGACGTCAAATCGACACGAGTCAAAGGGACAGACAGTCCGATAGATATTTGCCTTCAGGACGCGAAATCGGTATATGCGTCTTTGAGATTCGTTTTTCTGAATCCTCAATTCACAATACCACACTACTTTCAGATTCTTTGAAGCTGATCGTCCCATTCTCACGCGTTACGTATCTCTATGGAATAGGGATCTCTGAGCTTGCTTCTTTACCCTGGCAAAATTTTATTCCCTTTCGCGTAGCAAAACCCACATCTGCCTTAGGATTTATCGAAGTCCTGCGGAATTCCAATGAATTTTGAAGTTTCGATACGTGTTAATGATTATAAAGAATTTTTTTCTTTATTTTTAGGTGTTCCGTACGCGGAACCTCCTGTGGGATCTTTTCGATTCTCACCGCCAAGATCGCCGCAACCTTGGACAGGATTGCGGCAATGCCAACATTTTGCACCGGTTTGTCCGCAAGTGCTTCCTGATCTTCGGGCTGAAGTCAAACCCGGACGGTACGAGTACTTGGAGAGACTTTTGCCTTATCTACGTAATCAAAGTGAAGATTGTCTTTATCTTAACATATACGCACCTCATCAGCGTGAGGGTAAGTATCGTGTACCTTAATTAACGTAGGTACGAATAATCATTATTTTTAATAAAATTTGCACATATAAATTCATGACTAAATTGATAAAATGTGAATCAGTCAACAAAAAAACGTCTATTAAAACGGTTTTAGTACTTAGAAGTAAGAAAAATAATAAGATTTCCACTTTTTAAATACTCCGATTTCTATATCTATACCATGTATATTCGATGTATATTATTTTTTTTTTATATACTACTTAAAGATTTTTAATATATACGTATACATAATACCTATACCCGTGCATATACCCACATTGTGGACAAGGTGATCAGCAGAATTAGAACTTTGAAGCTTAGAGTTTCAGAAACTCCTTCGCAGAGGTCTACACCCCTTGTGGACCATTTAAATTATACAGCCTCCTCGCAAAGTCCAGTTTCCACTCGATTTCGTTTCTCAACGAAATCCCAAATTACGACGGAACGATAACTCGGCCTTATCCAAGTAAAAGTGTTCTCCGTCATCTACCTCGCAAATACGTAAACGGAACCAGTACGTTAGACACGTACTGGTCAAAGATTTTATATAAGAAGAAAGAAAGAAAGAAAGAAAGAAAGAAAGAAAGAAAGAAAGAAAGAAAGAAAGAAAGAATAGGATTATCAGGTCACTTCGTAGTTAACTGAATCGATTACTATAGTCAAAGAGCTTTTTCTCATATTCGACAAGATTCCCAATCGATATAATACCCGTATAACAATAATATAGCATATTAATTTTTTTTTAAATTATTATTTTGATTCAAACTGACTTTTCATTCTGAATACGTCAGAGGCGTCTTTTTACAGACAGCCAAATGAACAGTATCAAATGGTACCTATGCATTACGTGACGCGTTTTTATGAGTGAACCTGGCAATAACACAAGTGACATGACGTACTATGAAAATTTGCAAAAACATATTTCACGACGAAAGGGGTCATACATAGATACCACATATGGTCATTCGGAATCGATTTTGCATTTGGCCATTTCCATTTCAAGATGGTCCTGTCTTTTCGAGCTTTAATGGCCGTGTTACTAGAAGCGGCCATTAAAGTGCCGGGTCACGAAAGATATAGGCATTTAGAGGTTTGCCCATGTATTTTCACAATTTTGTAAATTCCCAAAAGCTAACACTGTTTAACGATAAATACTAATTTTTCTATTCTAACACCCGATGCTTATTACCATAAAGTGAAATTAGTTTATTTCTAATAATTGCAAAAAAATTGCTTACTCAAAAAAAATGACTGACTAAAAAAAAGATCATTTACCCTCGAGTACAGATATTTTCTTCTCCGTACATATTTACCCTATAAAGTACAAGCACAGTGGAACGGTGAAATTTTTCAAGATTTTAACTTACTTTTAACGATAATCCTCCGCCTCACCCATCTTCCCCTTCTCTCTCCGAACGTTAAGAACTGGTATATTAAATTTCAAGTTGACGCTGTAGAGTGTCATAATAAATTCCCTAGACGCGTTGGGATAGATTTGAGAAAAGAATACATATATATAATCGCGATTATATAGATGGACAATTTTTATCTATGCACCTGTCAGTAAATCAGTAGGTGATATTCTTGCCGTAAGAGCTGCCAGTATATTCTCATTGGATAATAATAGACTACGTACAGTAGAAGGTATAAAAATAAAATCACAGTTATACCATTGATTATCTATGCTATCGCACCAGTCGCAGTAAGATAGTACATAGTTTCACCAGTGACAAACTGCTACGAGAAATAATATTCCACCAGAGTATATAATCCCTGAAGACATTTCTCCCAGGAGTTCTTGGCTTACGATTCTCGTCAAGTACTAATCGCTTTACTATGTAAGTGACACCGGGACTTTAGGGAATGATGCGCGATTCGGGTTTACCCCAACGATTCGTAGTTACCGGGGCACCGTCGCGTAGGCCTTTGAGTTCGAAAAAAAAAGACTTGGAAGAAAACGACATAAATAAGGGTACAACAAGGTGATAAGAAAAGGGGGTGGGTGATTTTTGGAGTAAAAAAAATTCTTTTCTCACGGGTAATCACGAAACGGGTACGGGGATAAAAATATTCAAAGATATGCAAAGTTATGCAAAATCGTAATGGCAGGTACCAACCTACTTTTCGAAAGCCTACCCCCTCCCTACCTTGTCGGAACCTTCAATATGTGGGAATATACGTATGAGAGGCCGCGAGTTGCGCCGACTTTTCCTATATGGAAATATGAATTCAACTGATGGGTTTATATGGCCATATGTATTCATATGGATCGTGGGATAGAGAAATGGGGGAAAGTGCATGTAAATATATTGCCATGTTGATATATAACGTGGAGGTAGAAATGGTTAGGTATTTTTTTTTTTATTACTAGTTTGTAGGTGGATATTTAATGTAGGTACGACGAACTTGATTCGAAGTGAAAAAGCTCGAATACCGTGCACGTGATATTATTTAGTTTTATGCTCAGCTATATAAGAGAGTCAGACGGGTAGACTCGATATTGTCTTGATAGGTTTCTATTTTTAATTAAGTGAAACCTTTTAAAGCTTGAAAATATAGATTCAGCCAGTACAAGGACAAAGTATAATTGCAGTCTCGTTAATGTATACTTTATCTTGACATTCGTTTTACTATTAATTAAATGTTTCCAGTAGGGACATCGTATGACGCTAGCCTGGATAATTACAGTGTGCAAAGTTCAGAAATTCTCCGCATGGCGCTGCCGTTGGAGCACGTAGATTGTTATATCATCTCGCTCGTATATCAAGCCGGTAAACCAAGAGGGTAACGGGGGTTGAATATAGTTGCGAGATAAGTACTTTCATGGTTGGGAAAAATGCGTAAGAAAAAAAAAAAAAAAAATGGAAGAAAACGAAGAAAGAGTGGAGCTGAGAAAAGTCGAGAGGAAACACTGTGAGAGTACTCGAGTTTCTTTTTTTTCATCCAAAGATGGCACTTCGTTAGGGGGTGGTTGCTTTTCTGGCGCGAGACTTGGGCGATATAAAAGTATGTAAAATTTATTAAGCCGCGATTACAGGTTGCGTCGAATGAATCTTGGAGACCGTACGAAAAATTGACACTACGAAGTATTTCCAAAGTCGAGGACGAGGGAGGGTGGCGGGTCGCACGGGGATAAAACGGCTTCTTATACTTACCCTTTAAGCGTCAGGGGCGGATTTAGTGACAGTTTAAGTTTTTTTTTTTTTTTTTTTTTTTTTTTTTTTACGGTTCGATAAAGAATCGTAAAGTGGCAGATTTTTAATAATTCTACCAATAATGCGAAGTGCCATCAGGGTTTACAGTCCCGTCCGGATCATAAAAAATGTTGACTACACCAACCCCCTGTGAAGGAGTCTCCTACCCCTCGTATCTTTTCGATTCCCGTCACGCGTTGCATCGCAAGAGGGATACAGGACGGAATGCCCTAGGGGTGCGCAGGGGAGAACCCCCCTCTGCGGGAACTGTCGTACCAACTTTCCCTTAACCTCATGGCTTTTTACACAACTTTTTTTTCTCGTTTTGCCAAATAGCTTGTAATTAAATTCTTCTTTTTTTTCCATAGACTTCTCTCACTACGTGGTAGTAGCCATCGGCTTTAGAGCAATACCACGGAACGTTATTACGCAGGCTATGAGAATGTTCGAAAGTTTGTAAGACGACTTTTGAAAGAATCTAGGGGATGAAAAAAAATTTTATATAGGGGAAACAAAACTTTATTCCCCAGATTCTTTTTACCTTTGCTACCACTTGCTGTGTATGCAGTATACATATTGTAACGTAATTCTTTTAACTTATGACCCGACACCGATAGCAAAACATACGAGAACGACTATCTTCGAGAAGCAACCTACGTTACCTTCGGCCGTCCACCCGTCGTTCGTGCATCCGCAAGCCAGGCGGGCGCCAGCCGATTCTTTTTTCACCGGGAACTGACGAGCCGCTATAAACTGGGAGTTGGGGTGGAACAGGCCCAACTCCACCAAGAACGAGAGCTCTGACGAGCCGGTATAAACTGGGAGTTGGGGTGGAACAGGCCCAACTCCACCAAGAACGAGAGCTCTGACGGAACCTATCGGACGAGGCGACAGCTTAACGGATCCTGTCGATTTTTGGGGTCGCGTAAAATCGAGAAACGCAACTGGATCCACGAACGAGAGCGGACGGTTACGGAAATGCACGGCCGCTCAGGCTGCTAGGTTTGAGCTAGAGAGGGTCGGAGTAAGAGTCCGGCAAATAGTGCGAGAGACAGAGAGCGACGAACCGAGAACGTATCAGAACGAATCTTAACTATCTATCGAGATCCCTTCACCAATTAATAAATTGGGAGACTCACCGGAGCTGGTGCAGCTAATCCGTGGAGGTCGAGAACTGGATCCAAAGGACACTCTGGTGGACACTGCACTAAGGCACAGCACTACACCTCCGGAACACTCACAGGAATTCATAGAATTTCCTGGATATCGCGAGAACAACGCGAGAACTGTACGAATCGAGAACTTGCTATACTGTAGCGAAACACGGCAAGAAAAACTATCAACAGATAGCACGGGAGC